GTCTCTTCCAACTCTATGATTCTATGATTCTATGATTCTATAGTATTTTCATTGTTTTATGTAAACCAATGTGGAAAATAGAACATAAATAAATTAATAAACAAGTTAGAGTGTTCCTAAAATTATTACTTTACTTGTTGCATTGCTTGTTACTTTTCCATTGTTTGTTGTTGTTATTGTGTGCCTTCAAGTCCTTTCCATTACTTTCCATTATTTTTTATTTGGTTAAAAAACAAAGATCCTTAGCAATCATAAGAGAATTGCAGAAGAATTTAAAAATTTCAGTCAAAATTGTGCTGGAAATGCCTAAAAATGCAACTTAAGGAAATAACTAGAAAAGATTACTTTTTGTACCAATGTATTAATTAATTCGACCAATAAAATAACTTTCTTCTCACGCATTATGTTAATTTTGAAATTTAACTTTTGCAGCTCTATTTTTCCCAGTGCATTCATTAAAAATAATTAGGTTGATTGTCACTTGTTGATTCTAAATGCTGCTTTCCTCAACTCAGTACCCTCCACATGTGTTGGACTCTAACTCCCATCATGCCTGATGAGTAAAGTGAATGGCCAATGTGACTGGAAGGTTGGAGGTTACAGTCCAACCTAACTATTGGGCACTGAGTTGGTAGAGGCTAGTATGTTCCATTGTGCTCCTGCTTGCAACAGTGAGGAAATTGACTATTACCAGAAGTGTAGCATGCCAGTATGGTGTAGTGGTTTGGCAGCTGGAGTAAGCTACTAGAGGCCAGAATTTGAATACCTCCTTGTCCATGGAAACATACTGGATGATCTTGGGCAAGTCATACACTCTCATCCTCCAAAGAAGGCAATGGCAAACCTCATCTGAACAAATATTGCCACAAAACCTTCTTAATAGGTTCACCATAAGTAAAAAAAATGACTTAAATCTGAACAACTTGAGGGTACCCAGTACTGCCCAGGTCTGTACCTTTTATCCCCGAGGGAGTGCATGGGTCCTATTCTTTTCCTCCCCTCTTTTTACCTCAGGATTCTTAATGACAGTACTGTACTGTACTGATAGGCAAAAGGTGGGATACAAAAATAAAGTTACTTACTTACTTCTCTCCCAAAATTCTGCCCTTTTTAAAACCTCAGGAATCTTGACAGCAGTTCTTTAGCAGCTTTCCCCTTCATCCCCTTCCCCGTCCTCCTCCTCCTCTTCTTCTTCTTCTTCTTCTTCTTCTTCTTCTTCTTCAGGAATCCTACCAACCATGCCTCAAAGAGTTCTCTTCTGTTTACTAGCCCTTTAATTTTTTTTGGCAAAGTATTAGAAATTTGAATTCCAACATGAAAGTGGCCACTCTTTCAATTTTTTAAGCATCTACCATGAAGTCTCAGTGGGTTACGGCAGTCCCCCCCCCCCAACTTTCTTCTATGAAGCTCCCTTTTGGAATTTTGCCTTGCCACTAGGCACTGCAATTTGGATGACAACAAAATACATCCTTTCAAATTTTGAAGTGTCTAGCCTGATATCCCTATGAGTTATGGCTGCAGCGACATTTCTTTTATTACTATTGATTTGTTTACTTTTGGACATTGATGACTTCTGTGTATGTGTATGGATATGAAAGCTGAACAGTGAAGAAAGGTGACAAGGGGAAAAATAAATTCATTTGAAATGTGGTGCTAGAGGCAAGTTCTGTGGTACTGTGGGCAAATAAATAGTTCCTAGGACAAATCAAGCCTGATCCAAAACATCAAATTAAAATTTTGGAATTAAAATTATTATTTTTAAAAACCTGGGACCTTTCCTTTCTCTTCCTACTGAGCCTCACTCCACTCACACCATCTCTTCAGCATTTTAAAAAGATGCAGGCAAATGCCACAGCCTGTTTCTGCCAAAATGCAGATATTTGAGTAGCAATGGTGACACCCTGGCTTAGGGTGTCACCTGGTGTGGTCCGCACCCCCTAGTGATGCCACTGCTGTTGGAGGTCTCTCATAGGGTGACCATAAAGTACAGGGGGGAAAAAAGCTGGCAAAAAACAGCTACTATATAATTTACATAACACAAAACCATAAAAAGTGAAATCTACTTACTCAACCAATGTTTAGCCAGATCTTGTGTATGGTTGCACACACATGTATGTTTACATAAGAATCAACCCCACTGAACTCACTGGATCCACTTCTGAAATTAACACACATATGGTATGTCACTGATAGCAATTTCACTTTTGAACTTCTCATACTGCTACTTTTAAAGTGCTGTCCCTTATGACTCCACAATCTATGTCCTGCTTTCTAATATATAGATGAAATCAAAAGGAAAACAAAAATTGGTAAATAATTTCAATTATAATCAAAAGATAATTTTCTCCTAAAACTTCCACAATTTCATGCTACAAACATAATAAAAATAGTTCCAAAGCACTCACTGTTCCAGCAGGGCTGATTTTCAGCCAATGGGACTGTTAAGTCCTTTGAGATTGTAGCCTATTCTGTAGATATGTATTTCCCATATTTCAAAGTCAGACCTACAACATTTTTGGGTCATCCTTTTGAGTAGAGCCAGGGATCTCTGCCCCAAAGTCCTACCCTGACTGCACCACATCAATAGGATATTTCAGACCACATAAGCCATCTTTGTGTTCTCAGAACAGCTTGAGCAACACAAACATCTTTGCCTGACACACCAATTCCTTAATGTCCTTTCTCTCCTCCCCCAACCTTTCCCCCATCCCTTGGATTACAAATTAAGTAGAGAGACAGAACAGACACATCTGAGCCAATTAAGGGTACCTTGTCAAACCTCAAACATCAGCTCTCACTGTCTGATATTGATTCAAGATTCTAAACCACAGAGATTTGCCAAGGAGACCCACTGGAAATAATAATGGTAGACATAACAGTCAGAGTCCAGCAAATTTGCTGGATATTTTATCAAGGCAGCTGTGTCCTTTGTGTGCTAATAATTAATTGGCATGGGGACTACTCTCACAAAAGAACAATCCTATTGATAACAATAGATCAGTGTATGTTACTATTTTCAGGATCAACATCTAGCTTATTTCATGATAGGTAATACAAATAATATTGCTTAACAATACTCTGGTTCCTCATATCTGTTACTTGTTCCCATCCACTCTGAGCACAAGAAGATGTAATGTTTATTAAATGTATACAGATTAACAAGAGAGGCAGCATGGTGTAGTGGTTTGAGCAAGGGGTTCAATTTCGTGCTCAGCTATGGAAACACATTGGGTAACCTTGGGCAAGTCACACATTTTCAGCCTCCAAACCCCCCATTATAGGGTCTCCTTAAGATCATCATAAGTCAGAAATGGCTTGAAGGCACACAGCAAAGACAACAGTCAGATTAATATGCTGTATTTTAAATTTCAGCAACAATTCCACAATACTACTCGAAGAAAATAGTGAAGACTTAGAACTACTGAGGAAAATCCAGGACAGCAATACAAAAACAGGTTACAGTTGAACATTTAGAAAACAAAAATAAAGATGAGAGATGATTTGCATAACTTTAAAGTGAATGAAGAAGACATCAAAATAATCAGATTTTCTATACCTTAGTTCAGTCATAAA